TAACTTCTCTGCCAAAACCCCACCTCCACTCACTGGAGGATTCACTTGCCATTAAGCAATTTGAAGTTACAGCAGTTCTGTGACATAAGTAATAGCCTACACAGTAACGTAAATGACTGCCTTTAGGTTCACTTTTCTCCCACTGTCAGGAGGAAGGCTGTATTCAAAAAGACAATTCTTGAATTCCAACTATTTGGCGGCATCCAGTAGCAGCTTCCTAAATTAAATAGGAAAAAATGTTCTTACTTTAATGTGTCTTCAACTGGGCCTTTAAAGAATAGCAGGAATAATTCTAGATGAACAGAAAAGTATACAGAAGTGATTTTCACTTAATAATGTTCATAGTTCAAGAGACACGTTACATAGACCACTGAGAAAATAAAATCAAATGTACATGTTAGTCAGTTTAAAGCTGTGTCATGCTGTAATTCCCATTACAGAAAGATCAGTACGGTGCTTGGGGGTATACAGTCTCCTCTAAATGAATGCCCAGTCACTCCCAGCTCCTCTAGGATAGTCCATGCCTCTTAGATAGGAGCAGAGTATTTGACTTTTCAAATCAGTGACAAATTATGTTTTTCTGATTTTGGTTCTATTTTCAGCCTGGTATTGGATACAAGTCAAGATAGAACTGGAGCAAATGTGAAAATTGCTGCAAGGAACTAGAATTCAGTAAGATACTAAATGGCATTTCTAAAGAATCAAGCTATGTCAACTGGTGCCAGGATACCATTCCCATATAGCAAAGTTCTTAAGGGCAGAAAAAAATTATTTTGATAATGAATAGCATATAGTATCATCTTTTCCAGTTATAACTAATCAAAATTTGTGTCATTGTGGGTGTAAAATTCATCCTTTAAAATGGAACACAGTAACAAAGCTGGAATCAAAAGTAAAATGTATCATTACATTTGCTTGTGATGTACATATAATTACTGAGTTATTTCTTAAAAACAAGGTTGTAAATCAACGTCCCTATTAGGTTCCCAACATTTTATTATTTATCTCCAATAAACTGAACCCAGCCCAGTTCTGTGTTTTGACAGCAGATGGATCAAGCTCCAGATTTTCCTGATCGGAGTGCATAACCAAAGACCCTTTGACAGTGGTTCAGATGAAGGAGGACAGAGGACATCTGTGCTCAGTCAAAAACATGGTTTAGGAACACCTCAGAATGGATAGGAGCTGCCTTCACAATTACGAGCTCAGCTTTGTGGGAACATCACAAGGATGAAAGGCTGCGAGAGGGCAGAGCCAAACGTGGGCCAATATGCATGGAGCACTGTTGGCCATGATCTCTTGAGCTGAAGGAGTCACAAGAGCTGTGTGTAACACCTGAGGTTTATTGCACTGAGCAGCCAAGTTTGGTCCCACAAATCATCTTCACACACTGGTGCTAAGCATTGCCCTGGCTCAGTACGGTTCCCCCCACCCTATGGGCTGGGGCACCTGCCTGTGCCCAGTTGTAGAGTCTTGACCCTCCTATTGTCAGTGCACCTGATTACTCAGCAAACTTGGTGCTTGGGGAGGTAGCAGGGCAGAAACTTGATGTGATGTTCAGTACATGCACGGTTTGTTGAGTGCAGCTGTGACAAAAAGCTGCCTCTCCTTGAGTTGCTGTTGCTCTGCCTCCCTGCCCAGTGCACCCTGTTTCCCAGATCTTCCCCAGCACAGCCAATGGCAGGGTATGTATGCAGGTCTCATCACTACACACTTTTCCTCAAAATACGCAGCTGTTTTGATGGAAGGTGAGCCCCATCATCCTCCTAGTTCTGGCTGTCATAAAAGAGAGGGTTTGCAGTAAGCAAGTTTCAGATGAACAATATCAATCCTTCACCCATCCGAGCATGTTCGGAAACATTTACAAACCCACAGGAACATAAAATGAACCTGTGCTGATTGTGGATCAGGTCCCTACATCCTCTAGTATAACAACTGCAGGAAAAAAATCTCCAAAAATCAATTTAAGAGAAAAGTTGCAAAATCATGTGCGCTAGAAAGTGCTAGAAGTTGTTCTATGGGAGCAAGTAGAAGGGGTTGCATTCACCCCTTGCTGCAACAGAGCAAGGTTCACTTTTCAATTTTTCCATGCAGTCCCACTAAAAGTGATATTTGTGCAAAGTCACACTTAGCTAAAATTGAGACTAAGATTACAAGTGATAAAAAATACAATAACCTATTTTCATTTTATTTTACTGTATTTACAAATACTTTATTACTGCACTTTATTCTACAGAATCTCTTACAGTCCAGCTGTACTAACTCATGAATGCATTGCACAGAAGATACTAATATGAAGATAGTAATATTTTCATACACAGTTTTGTGCTGCCACTCATAAGATGCAGCCTGCCTGCACAGCCTTCTTGCTGTTCTGCCTCACAGACACTCCTCTTGAGTACTCACCCCTCTTTTGCCCCTTGGATGCTTTTTCCTGCTCTGTTCAAGGCTCTCCACATGCCCAGAGCAGCTCTTCGTAGCCCCCCGCTACTGCCACATTGAAACTACATTGAGCCGTCTCTCCATGGCACAGTAGTATTAAACACAGTAGTATTAAACACACATACAGAATTTTTCCTCAGTGAAAGCACAAAAAAAATATTTTACTGAGGATTTTGATCCTCGACATTGCTGAAGGCAAGCACAAAACTAAGGCTAAGTATAAACATCAGGAACCTATAGCATCCTTCAACTGTTGGGATGGGGACAAATTACTGCTGCATTCATATTTAAAAAGAAAACATTAAACCTTGCAGGCTAGATATATAGTATATACATTTGTATGTGCATAAATATGTTTATACACTTAAGAGAGACCCATATCTATAGTATTATGGAATGAAGGTCAACCTACATCTATAAAAAAGTATTAAAGTTTTTTGTTTAGAAAGAACATCTGTCAACGCACCTTTCAAACTTGCCTTCTAATTTCACAAACAACAGAAATTAGTCCCATTTGACACCAATTTCAGAGGAAAAGTATGGTTTTTTATTTCTAATTAAAGTTATTCCTGATTTATACCAGCAGATGTGCAAAAATAATCAGATCCAAAGGGTTAGACATATGGCAACTAGACCTGTTGCATGAAGGCACATATTCAGTACCCCAGAACTCGGTAAGAATGCACCAAAATAACAATGCATCTGAACAGCAGTTTCTCTGAGGGAAAAATGAAAAGGCAGGAGATCTGGTTCTTTACTTATACCAGGACTATGACAACATAACCTTTTAGACTTAATGACATTAATTTGTGCCAAAATGTGCAAGATGGGAGTGAAGCAGTAGTTGCAATGCCAAGATAAAAAGGGAAATTTTAAGCAATGTGTATCACATTAAAATTTAAAAATAACATAGTTTTTTGGCAATAAGGGTTGCTATAATTACGTCCCAAAGAAACCATGGAAGCTGTTGTTTGGGACATCAAAACTAGGTTGGATGAAATTTTTGTATTCTTAAACAAAATTTCTCTGTGAGCAGGAAGGAAAGAGGACTATTAGATCTATCAAAGTTTTCCTCGTCTCTTAATTCAAAGAATGTGTTTATTTTGAAAACATATTTGAAAATTCACCACAGCTGTAAAACCGAAATTGTCTTTTATAGCAAGCTGGAGAAATACAAATACTAAGGTTATCTAAAAATACTGCACTGAGCTACTTCAGAATATTTCAAATATTTTGGGTAACACATGCTCTAATTATACCATTGTATCATTATCAAATTAAATAGCTTTTTTTTTGTACTAAAACAAGACAGGTCACCTTAGATATCATCTATTAATACCAGCATTACAAGACCAGATTCTCAGTGGAGAGGGAAAAAAAATCAATGGGAAAGAAAAGTCTTAACTTAAACTGGACGACTATTAGGTATGTAATGCACTGACTTCTCCCATGAAACAGGTTGTCTACTCCTATCCAGCCACTTAAACAAACACCAAACACAAAAGGGTATATTAAAATTAACACAAACTTATAGTTGATGGTGGTGAGACTAGTAATTAATTTCCAAAGGTGGCTAACAATAATGCAAAAAGATGATCCAATGCCACGATATCAGATACAGTTGTCCTGCAGATTAAGACTACTTGTTGCAAATAAGGTTTTATGCCTTAATACGTTAAACTGTTCCAGAGACCAAATAAGCATTCAGTTGCAGCTGAAACTTTATGCGGAAATTTTAGTGATGATCACAGAGGTATGTACAGGAGGGTAGCACAATTGCAATAGAAAGGCTGTAAAAGAACCTTCTATTTTACACTAATCTACCAGAACTCCTGAGACATGGATTTCAGTCTCACAAACTGATACTACCATATGTTACCGGATCAACCTGAATTCACTCCTTATTTTAGCACACGGACAATGGTTTGCAGACTCTCAGCTACAGGTGTAGCTATCCAGATAATCGTTAAGTCATGGATTTCAAAGTCCACTTTAAAGAAACTGATCTGTTAGGAATGTCTGCGCATCCAGGGGGCATAGGGAAATCTGTTGCTGAAATATTTCTGAACGCATAGCCAGAACTTTGCTTTACCCTATTCAGTACGGAGAAGCCCTACAAATGAAGTAAGTTCGCATCCCCTCGATGCTGAAGGAAGAATGGGCATGCCATGCATCACAGAGATGTAACTTTTTATATATTAAACAAAAAAAATGTTGCTAGAACCTGTGATAAGCACTTTACCATATTGCTTTCATTCAGAAAGGGACTCGGCAGAAATGATAAACCCAGCCAAGGCGGCAGCTGCGCCTAAGCGTGACTCCCGACCCGATTTCCAGCACCGGGCTGCCGGGAGCTGTACTCCCGCAGATTTTGCGGGGCTGGCAGCCGGTAGCCGAAGCGGGCACGGAGAGGCAGCGAGCTCCAGAGGCCTGGCGGGACCGCCCGGGAGGGGGGCGCGGGCACCGTCGCCTCTTTCCCGACAGGGACCCGACCCCGCGGGGCGGTCATGGGTCTGTGCGGGGTGCGGGCGGGCCGGGGCCAGGCGCGGGGCACTCACCGCGGGGGCCGTCAGGCGGCGGATGCTCTCGCCCAGTGAGTCCAGGTTGACCCGCCGGCGGCGCGGAGCGCGGCGCGCCCCGGCGGTGGCCGCGGCGGCGGCGGCGGCGGCGGCGGAAAAGGGGGTGTCGGCGGGGCCGGGGGGGCTGCGGCTGCCGTTCCAGCAGAGGCGGGACAGGGGACATTCGCCCTCCTCCTCGGGGCTCGTCTCCGGGCAGTCCGAGCCCAGCGAGCTGAAGGACTCCGACGAGATCTTGCGGCGGGACATGGTGCCGCGGGGCGGCGGCGGCGGTGCTCAGCGCGGGGCGGCGGGCAGCCGCGGCGGGCAGCGCCGAGCTGGGCGGCCGCGGGGACGGCCGCCTCGCATGGCCGCGGGTGCCCCTGGGCGGGCGAGAGGCAGCGGCGGAGCCGCCGCGCCGGGGCCGGCGCAGACCCCGCTCCGCGGTTCGCCGCGCCGGGCCAGGAGCGCGGGTGCCGCGCCGCGCCGCGTCGAGAGGCTTTAAAGCGGCGGCGGTGGCAGCGGCGGCGCCTGCTGCCCTCCTCTGCCTCGGCCGCCCGCCCCGCTCTCCCCTCCCCCGGCTCCCTCGCTGCTCCGCGGGGATCACGTGTTGTTTGGAGCCCTTTCCCCCTCCTCCTCCTCCTGCCGCCTCCCCCGCGCCACTCGCCTCCTGTCGCGCCCGGCCCCGCTTGCCGCGGCCGCCGCCGGCCGCGCTGCCCCGCTCCGGGGGGATGCCGGCACCGCCCGCACTGCCCCGGCAGCTCCCGAGGGGCGGGCCGAGGGCCGGGCCGGCGGCAGCCCACGCTCCCCCCGCCGCCGGCTGCTAGGAGGGCGGGAAGGGCGCTCCGCTCTCCACCCTGCACTGTGGAGCTGGGCGAAGGGGAAGGGGGAAAGCGCGTCGGTGGCCCCGCGGGGCCCCGCGGGGAGCGGCGGTGCTCGTGTAAAGGGCTGGACGATCCCGGCGTCCTCCCGGTGCGGCCGCCCTGGCCCCGCCGCCGCCGCCGCCCGTCCCGCCGCGGTGCTGGACAGCTCCCTGGCAGCTCCGGCAGCCGGGGAAGCCGGTCCGCGCTCCCTGCCTGCCGCTCACCGCCAGCGAACTTTTGGAATGGCATTCGTGGAGCTGAAGCTTAGAAAATAAATCGTTTTGAAAACCGGGAAGGCAGGATGCCGGCCACCAGCTTTCAGAGTCAAAAGTTCTTCTCATCCTTGTGCAAGCACTGCTCCTGCTAACACTGCGGGTCATGTCCAAAACAGAAAAGAAGAAACTAAATTCATTCTTCTGCTACAACCTTGGCAAGAGGAGAAAGGACTGGTTTAGAGGACCCAAAGCAGAGGAACTTGGATCCAGGATGACAACCAAGGTCTCTCCTTCCCAGCTTTCCCTACCCATGCTGTCAGTTTAAAGACACTTTAAGAGTTTCATGGCAATACTGATAACCCCATGTAGTTCTTCTCAGCAAAAATGCTTCAAGAAAATGTGATTTCAGCTGTAGTGGCTCGTCCTACCATCAAGGAAGACAACTTGTCATTACTTTGCCTTTGTTCAAATAAAACTTATTTTAAAAAGCAATGATTTTAAGATAGTTTTTACTCTGCCTTTTCCCTATATTACGACATGTTTTACAACCTTATCCTCTTAAATGTCTGAGTGCAGTCTAAACAAGAAGTCACTAAAGAGACTAGGAAGATTTCCACAGGAATGAAAGAGTTTTTAAGCATGGCCCTAGGCAGCCTAAGCCAGTGTCTGCTCTCAGAAGGAGCACAAGTCTGTGGCTGAGCATGCTGCTTTTAGCTAGGACACGACAACCCTTGCCAGGACATTGCGTTCAGTGTTGTCATCCCTGTTTCTTATGACTCACCTAGTGTCTATTCTTTTTTTTTTTCATAGAAATATATATAGAGTAAGAGAAGCAATGAAACTTTTCTCTTGCTATAATTTTTTAATTTCTGGTGCTTCCCATGGCTTGGAAGGATATATAGTAAATCCAGAGTGGTCCATACTACCTTCTGTTGCCTTGTGAAACAGTACACTTGGGATGCACAGACTTTCTTTTTGTAATCCTGGTGGTACCCTCAGCAGCCCTAGGACATGAATCAGACATGTTAAGTTAATTCATGCATGAACCTTCAGATCTGTTGTCCTCCTCTGTGTTTCCTCCTCTAGTGATTAACAATATTCATCAGTGTCTGACTGTAGGGAGATGAAACAGTTACTCTGCCTCTTCCTTCTTAAGAAATACTCATTTTCACAGGTTCTTTGAGACCTGCTGCACAAGTCCCTGCTGGCTCTCAGGCCAAGCTTCTGCCATTGAGGGGACTCAGGAATTAAGGGGTCTGGAAGGTGCCCTTTGGTGCTAAACATCATCCCTAGCACAGGGTACTCTGTGTTAAGATGTTAACTTTCTTCACATGTGCTTCCATTTCCATTAAATTTACTTCCTTCTCATAGACCATTCTGTACAGTCCTCAGCGAAGTAAAGTTCCACTGGTTTCTTGGCTGATGCAGTGACAGTGACAACTGGGTAAGAGCCACATAGTTTAGCGTGGAAAATGTAAGTACATATTTATAAGTCTAAACTGCTAAAATACCAAAGTGTCAACTGGTTCCACGTGCAGCATTTCAGCCGTAGGGTAAGCAACTTGCTTGCAGGCAAATTTGCATTTTATTCAGTGCTAGAGAAAAAGGATTTCAACATGACAAAACTGACATTTTTTTAGACTTAAGTTTCCTCTTGTTCTTGAAGTTTAGAGTAGCACTTCCCAATGCAACTTATTGCTAGCATTTGACCATGCTCTTGAGTTACCCATGCAGCATTAAAAGTTGCTTTCCTCATTCCCCTCATGGCCATATTCCTTTTGTGCCTGTGGTAACCATGAAATGGGAAGAGAAATTCTTAGCTAAAGTGACTACCCCTGAGGTCAGGATTATTATAACTAAATGTGCTTGTATACCAAATGAACTCTTTTCAAAAATGTAAAAGACATTTTCCTTCAACATCTAGATGGTGAAATTCATGACTTAGTAAAAATGCCATTAGATTCTTCAAAAAATCTTTGCTTCAGCTAAAGTAGTGCTTTGAGTAAAGCCAGACTCAGTGTTGCTATTCATTGGCTATTCTGATCAGCTACAAACTTTAAAACTTGTGGAAGTTAACCTCAAACCTGCCTGGGTCCAGTTACAAAGATGTTGGTAGTCTGCATGTTGCAACTCTGTTTGGGATTCATGATGTGAAGTACATGGAATTGGACAGGGTGAAGGGTCTGAAGCACAAGTCTAATGAGGAGCGGCTGAGGGAGCTGGAGTTGTTTAACTTGGAGAAAAGGAGGCTCAGAGGGAATCTTATCATTCCCTACAACTACCTGAAAGGAGGTTGTAGCCAGGTGGGGGTCGATCTCTTCTCCCAGGCACCTAGTGACAGGATAAGAGGACATCACCTCAGTCTGCACCAGAGGAGGTTTAGTTGGACATTATGGAGAATTTTATCACAGAAAGCGTTGTTAAGCATTGGAACAGACTTCCCTGAAGGTGTTCAAGAAGCTAGTGGACATGGCACTTAATGCTATGGTTTAGTTGACAAGGTGGTGATTGGTCAAAGGTTGAACTTGATGATCTTGAAGGTCTTTTCCAACCTAAATGATTCTGTGACTCTGTGATCCTAAGAAAAATATTTTGAAAATCACAAATATTTTATTATTTTTTATCTTCCTTCAAATTTTTATCTTAGCGCTAGTAAGCAAAACTCTCAATACTGAGTCCAGTTCTGACACAAAATGCATGGTCTTTAATTTCCATTAATTACAATGTGTTGGTTTATTGATAATTGTTTAAACATTTCTCATCAGACATTATATGCTGGAGTTTTGATGTTATTATTTTTTTCACAAATGATGTTTTTCTGAATCTTGGAAGATTAAAATAACAAAAACAATTTCATCATAGTGCATTGTGTTGTCCTATCTGCCTTTGTTGAGAAAATGTTGGTCACAAAGATGCTGAAAGAAAGTATTGAAATTAATCCAACTTAGTTATTAGTTGCATGTATCACATACATCACATACATAGTTCTTATTATTTGACCTATTATATTATATGGCTTTTTATAATGAACTTTTTATAGCACTGCTGAACCTATAAGTAGTTAATTTTCCCTGAATAGAAAAGATTGTTGTCATGGGATCAATGTCTCCCACAGAGAAAGTAAACATCTGTTTTCCAAAGCATTTCTAAAGCAGCAGGAGACTGTTATCCTGTGACAACATTCTATTATAATTATTTTATTGCAGTCAGGCAAAATGAATGATGTGTAGCGAATTCATTCTTTTTTCACATTCTGTCAAACCTTCCTGTTCTTTATCCAATGACTTCCATCTGGAGTAGTGCCTGGAAGGATGGCTGGGGCATTCTGCCATTCATCATTAATGATCTGTTGAATTACAGCTGGCTCAAAGAACAAATCCATTGTCTGTTTCAACTACTCAGAAATAAAGTTAATGTGCAAGGTACAGCAAACGCACATTGGTCAAAGTTGATGTTCTGGTCGTCAGGTTTTGTTTGAGTCCATCATGTTACACGATGTATTACTGAAGCAGTAATGAATCTATTTTACACTGCAAGATTAGGTATTACATAATGAAAGAAGAAGAATCTGTCTTAATGCTCATAAACTTTATTTAATCTGTGACCCTCAGCACACTTCTATGACTTGTTCTCATGGATGAGGAAAGCAAAGCACAGGTGACTGATACCACAAGTCTCACACTACATGGCAGATCAATAGCAGAATCAGGAATTCCTTGTTGCCTAATCTAACTTCAAGACAACTTTATTCAGAATCAATTGGCTTGAAACATGAATGGCCAGCATCAGATACGTTTGTAAATTCAGGGATTTCGCTATACTGACTTGCCAAAGTAGGATCAAAACAAGATGTCACGGCTGTGGAAAGAGATATGTTACATTGACATCATCACTGTTTCTCAACAAAAAATGCTGATGGAAACGACTGATGGAGTGAGAAAAATAAGAATGCCCAAATAACAGTGCTTTGACTCAGATGATTGGGTCAAACTGAGATTGCAAATCTCAGGAAGAAGTGATGGTATACAGCTTGAACTAATTGTCTAGAATAAACACACAGCTGGCTAAACATTCAGACTTAATAATTTATAAATCACAAAAGAAAAACTATAGCACAGCACTCAAAACCTCTTATTTCTGTTTCACTTGCACAGAGAGATAAATTTACTGAATTCAACAAGAAGTGAGGTAA